AACACACCTCAACATCAAGGACAGACATCACCTCAGGGTAATGGGATAGGAAAAGATTCCAAGCAAACGGACCTAGGAAGCCAGCCAATGTAGCCATTTTAATATCGGACAAAATAGACTTCAGACAAAAACTAATCAGAAGAATAGAGAGGGACACTACATACTCACCGCAGAAATTCCATCAAGGGGTCACTGTGATTCTTAATATCTATGCACCAAACACAAGGGCTCTCGAGTTCAAGAAGAAACACTGCTACAACTTAAATCACACATGGACCCTCACACAGTGACAGTGGGACACCTCAGGACCCACTCCCATCAGTAGACAGGTCATCCAGACAAAAACTAAAAAAGAAATGCTGGAGCTAACTGATGCCTTAAACCAAATGGACCTAACAGATATTGACAAAATATTTTGCCGAAACTCAAAAGAATATACCTTCTTCCCTGAAACATAATTATGTAACTTTCTCCAAAACTGGCAACATATGCAGACATAAAGCAAATCCAACAGACACAAAAACCTCAAAGCAACACCTGCATCCTATCAGACCACCGCGGATCAAAGCTGGATATCTACAACAGAGAAACAGCAGAGAGTTTACAAACTCCGGAAACTGAACAGCTCTCCACTGAATGAGAAATGAGTCGAGACAGAAATTAAAGACTTTAAATCAAAACACATCTACCAGCTTATATAACACAACAAAGGCAGTCCTAAAAGGCAAGTTCATATAGATCTAAGTTCCATTAAAAAATTGAAATTAAAATGTAAAAAAAAAAAAAAAATGAAGAGATCTCATACTTAATAGCATACTTGAAAGCTCTAGAATAAAAAGAAGAAATCATATCCAAAAGGAGTATACAGCAAGAAATAATCAAACTCTGGCCTAAAATGAATAAAACAGAGACAAAAAATAGAAATAATCAATGAAACAAAGTGTTGGTTCTTTGAAAAAAAATCAGTAAGATTGCAACCCTTAGACAAATTTACAAAAAGGCATAGAGAGAATATCCAAATTAACAAAATTAGAAACAAAAAGGTGGGACATAACTACAGACACCAAGGAAATCCAGAGAATCATAAATACATACTTTAAAAACTTGCACTCCAAATTAGAAAATGTAAATATATATACATTTATATATAAATAATATGTAAATATATAAATAAATATATATAATTTTCTCAATACATACCTCTTAACAAAGATCAATTAAGCAATTTAAATAGACCTATAACTCCTAGTATAATAGAAGCAGTCATTAAAAGTCTCCCAACCACAAAAATAAAAAAAGTCCAGGGCTAACTGACTTTAGCACAGAATTCTAGCTGACTTTCAAAGAAACAGAAGGAATGTTGCCCAGTTCTTTAAACAAACCCAATTACTCTGATACCTAAACCACATAAAGACCTAACAAATTACAGACCAACTTCCCTTATAAACACAGATGCAAACAGTCTCAATATAATACCTGCAAACTGAATCTAAGAACAAATAGAAAAGATCATTCACCCTAACCAAGTAGGTTTCATCCCACAGGTGCAAAGATGGTTCAACATACTTTAATCCACCATATAAACACATTGAAAGAAAAAAACCACATGACCATCTCATTAGATGCAGAAAAGGCCTTTGACAAAATCCAACACTCCTTCATGATAAAAGACCTGGAGAGATCAGGGACACAAGGGTGTGATTTACAGCAAGCCCCCAGCCAACCTCAACTTAAATGGAAGGAAACTCAGAGCAATTCCACTGAAATCAGGGACAAGACAAGGCTGACCACTCTCTCCATACCTACTCAATATAGTACTTGGAGTTCTACCTAGAGCAACAGGACAACTTAAGGAGATCAAGGGGATACAAACTGGAAAGGAAGAAGTATCTTTATTTGCAGATGATATGATAGTGTACTTATGTGACCCTAAGAATTGTACCAGGAAACTCCTACAGCTGACGACAAACACTCGGCCTTCCTAAATATAAGTGACAAACAGACTGAGAAAGAAATCAGGGAAATAAAACTTTTCACAGTAAGCTTAAAGAAGCAAATAAATAAAATATCTTGGGGTAACTCTAACCAAGCAAGTGGAAAACTTGTATAATCAAAACTTTAAGACACTGAAGAAAGAAACTGAAGAAGGTATCAGAAGATGGAAAGATCTCCCATGCTCATGGATCAGCAAAATTAATAGAGCGAAAATAGCCATCCTACCAAAAGCAATCTACAGATTCAACACAATTCCCATCAAAAATCCCACCACAGTTAATTCTTCACAGAAACTGAAAAAACAATTTTCAGATTCATATAGAAACACACACACACAAAAGGATAGTTAAACATCCTAAACGACAAAAGAATGCTGGAGGTATCACCATCCCCGACCTCAGATTGTACTACAGATCCGTAGTAGTGAAAACAGCATGGTATTGGTATAAAAACAAGCACAGTGACCAGACATAAACCCAGCCAACCTACGCACAAAGATGCCACACATAGACACTGGGGGAAAAGACATCTTCGACAAATGGTGCTGATCAAACTGGATGCTGCATGTAGAGGAATGTAAATAGACCCGTACCTATCACCTTGCACAAAATTCAAGTCCAAATGAATCAACAACTTCAATAAACGGCCAGATAACCCTGAACCTGACAGAGGGGAACATGGGCAGCAGCCCTGAACTTCACTGGCACAGGAGAAGGCTCTCTGAACTGAACCCTGACAGCACAGGTGCTAACATTAACAACTACTGTAATCCCAGCCTGGGACCACAGGTGGATCACCACACAGCCTGGCATTTACAGGCGTTCTGGGAATCCAAACTCCTGCTAGATCTGGTGGGTCATCTCTCCAGCCCCAAAGCCAACGTCTTTTAAATAAAGGTCCTGACAGAAACCATCAGTCCCCACAACTGCTCTTAAAAAACTGAAATGGATAAACAAAACAATGTTTCCTTCTCCGATCTTCCTGTTGAACCTCCTCTTGCCCTCGAAATGAAAAAATAAAATAAAAAATAAAGCCCCATTCGACACAGAGACTGATTTGTAGAGGTCTATTTGGGCCAACAATATTTGCTGTTTTGTTTCTTTGGGTTTTTTTTTTTAATTTATTTAATAAAAAATGAGCAAAACAAAACATATTGTACTTTCAGGTTTCATAAACACTAAAAAAAAAAGATTCACAGGAGCTAAAATAAAGATTGTTTTCCTTCTTGCCCTTTCCACCCAGAGAAATAAAATTTCCCACCAAAATCAAAACACTCTCTTTTGCTCGCTCACTTGGCTAGGGTCCAAGTCTGAGAGGAAGAATTTTGACGTCAGCAGGTCAGCTCAAGGCCTTGCAATGTGCGTCTGTTTCTGATTTGGTTTTCTGTTCTTTGCTGGACATCCCCCACCCCGCCCCCTTCTCTTAAACCCTAACACCAAAACCAGGAAAGAGATTTAAAATAACAACAACTTGGTGAAGGTCCCAGACACTAAAATACCTCATACACGAAGCCGAGGCCCTGAACACAGCATCTGGGGTGTATACACAGGAAGCCTGACCTGCCACCAAGGAGAGAAGCCCTGTTTCTCACCCAAGCGGTAGGAAACGGCTTGACGGTGCTGATCTTGGCAGGACAGCCAAGCTCTGGGAACAGTGCAGGCGTAAGCCTCCCCCTCCTTAAGACAGTGTGTGCCCAGCTTGTGTTGGGTCAGGTGGGGCAGGACATGGACAACACGGCTACCTTCCTGGTATAACGGTGATTCACTGAGCCCCAGAGGAGGGTGCAGGAGGAATTAAAGAATTCCACCTTCGACTGTAAGCACAGCACTCAGAAATGGGGTGTTCGGGAGGAGAAACATTTCCTTCCGCTCAAGCCCATCACCAAAGCCCAGGACGCAGTATTTAAAAGAACACTACGGAGAGCTGGTAGATCGCTCAGTTGGCAAAGGACTTGCTGTGCAAGCGGGAGGGTCCAGGTTTGCTTCCCCAGCACCATGAAAGAGCCAGGAGGAAAGTCGCACCTGTAATCCCAGCACGGGTAAGCAGACACAGGAGTATCCTGGCCTCTAGATCCAGTGAGAGACCTTTGCTCCAAAAATAGAGTGGGGCTGGGGGCATGGCTCAGTGGTCAAGAGAGCCTGGGCTCTTCCAGAGGGCCTGAGTTCAATTCCAGGCACCCACACGGAGGCTTACATTCACCTGTAACTTCAGCTCAAGGGAAACTGACGCCCTCTATTGGCCACCTCCATACACTGTACATACATATATACACATGAATAATAATAAAATATTTTAAAAGCTAAGTAAGAAGATAAAGAGTAATTGAGAAAAACATCCAACATCAACGACTGGTCTACACATACACACACACACACACACACACACACACACACACACACACAAACACACACACGTGTGTGTACCCATCTGCACATATACATGCCCACACATACGAACACATGCATACATACACACACATGCCCACCTGCACACAAATGTGCCCACACACATGAACACAAACACATACATGTGTGCATGCCAACCTGCACACTCAGGTTTCCACATATTCACATGTACTCATCTGCACATACACATGCCCACACACACGAACACATACACTCACATACAGAATTAAAAAGATTTAAGTGGCGGCTATCAACAACAACCTCATTCTTAGCCAGCGCACTCTGGTTTAGCACAGTTGGAACGAATAAGGCTTCATCATCAGTTCTAAACAGCAGTCAACAGCGTTTTGTGGTCTTCGTGGAGGTGGGATATGTTTCTGGTTTTTGAGACAGGGTTTTATGTAGCTCATGCTGGCCTTGAACTCACTATGTAGCCAAGGATGACCCTGAACTTCTGATCCTCCTGCCTCTACCTCCCAAATGCTAGGATCCCTGGTGTGTACCACCAGGCGTGATAAATTCAGGGCTGAGGATGCACCCTAGCAAAAGAGCTCATGAGCCCAAAGAACAGCTCCTTCCCCGGACCCGCGCAGGACTCACTTGCTGGAGTTCATGGTGTAGCCAGAAGGACACTCAGGGATGCACTTGTTGTTGTGAATGACGTACTGGTGGCAGCCAGGCTTCCTGGAGTTCCTGCATTTGTAGTGAAGGTCTTGGCAGAAGCTGAAGTTCACACAGCGCCAGTCCTGGAAGTGGTAGTAGGGAGGCGGGCAGGTCTCCACGCACCGGCCGTCCAGGTAGAAGTTGCGGCAGGCCACACACTTGGTGGGGTCGTCGGGCTCCGAGCAGTTGCCCAGGCACTCCCTGTGGCAGCACAGGCCTTCGGCGGTGCAGCCGTGTGACTTACAGATGGTCGGGCAAACTGGAGACGAGAAGAAAAAAACAAACAGCTGGTCAAGGACTCTGTCCAAGTTCTGTCTGCGCAAACTGCCAAACAAAACAACAACAATAACAGCCACACTTAAGCGGCACTTGGCGCGTGCCTGGCTGGTCTGTGAAAAGTGACAGTAGCCCCCAAAGCAACTCCACACTTGGCAAAAGTCAAACCATCACCTGAGGGAGGGGAGACCCCATTCACAGCGTTTGCCGGCTACGACCACCAACTTCCGGCTGCTGACAGGAAGCCAAGTAACCGCGACCTTGGCAGGGGACACAATGTAACACACTATTAAATAATGTTTCCCACAGTCCATACAGTCTGTCTACGATAGATACAGTAGCAGTCGATAACTTCCAGGGTACCCATACTTTTTTGAAGCTAAGCCTGGGGCTACAGAGACGGCTCAATAGTTACCAACCAGCATTGCTGCTTTGCAGATGGCATGAGTTCGGTTCCCAGCACCCACAACAAGCAGGTGGTTCACTGTAACTCCAGCTCCAGGGGATCTGACGCCCTCTCTGGGCTCACAGGCACCAGCTCAGGTTACATATGCACACACTTAAGTAAAAAGAAAACACTTTCTGAAAACGCCATATCATAGCTAAGATGTGGTTATTTCCATCACTTGTTTTCAATGTGATTTGTTTTAATTGTAGGTTGACATAACTTTATTTATTGACTTAATTACTTACCTATTTACTTATATACCACAGTGTTGGGGATGGAACCCGGGACACTCAAATGTCAGGCCTGGTTTCTATCACTGAGCTACACCCCAGTCCCTCACTGGTGGATTCTAGGTAGGCCCTCTACAACCGACCCATGCCCCCAGTCCCTCACTGGGGGATTCTAGGCAGCGGCTCTACCACTAAGACACATCCTCTGTCCTTACATTTGGAGACAGGTTCTCATGAAGTTACCCAGGCTCTCCTTGAACTCACTCTGTAAGCCTAGGTTAGCCTTCTGCTTGCCATCCTCCTGCCTCAGCCTATCACAGGGTTACAGGACCTGTAACCACTTCAGGCTCTGTTGCAACTTGAAAGGAGGATCCTGATCCGGAGGAAGGAGGAGGTCCTCCAGATGAGGGCGCAGGCTGCGCCTCCGCAGCCTAGAGAGGCTCCCTTGTTTGTGTCACTGAGTTCGTCCACGGGAGTCAGTTCCTTCCACCAGCCTTTTCTCCATTATCTCACTGTTCGACACTTCCTAACTGCCTCTTATTATATATATATTTCAGGGGACACAGGAATAAGTGTGGAGGCCAGAGGACAACCCTGGGGGGTCGGTCCTCACCTTCCAGCTCGGCTCTGCCTGGGTTCTAGAGATCTGAACTCGGAAGTCATCTCTTCTCTTCATTTGATCCCCTCCCTTCCCAGGCTGCCCGTGAGGAGCTGTGGCTTGGCTGACTCTAGACAGTGCGCCTGATCTGCCCTCTGAGGTGTGTCCCTCTCTCTGTGTATACTCTAGAGCAGAACTGGACAGCTGGAACCAGATTTCTCCCAAATTCTCAAATTTAACTCTCCCAACACCAACTGGGTCCCTGTCCACTAGCCAAACCTGGGGAAAGAAGCGGCCTCCAACGCCAACTCCACAGACAAGCAACACTGTCCGATTCAGTTCTCCACCATGACAGAAATGTGAGCTGTCCAATGTGTGGTCCTTTCTCTCCTGAGGCATGTGGTAAAACTAAACAGTCAAAGCAAAAATGAATTTTAACTATGATAAAATATCCTAAGAGCTTCCGTCTCTGGCTGGGGGTGTGGCTCAGTGGTAGAGTGTTTGCCTGATGTAAACAAAACACTCGGTTTGATGCCAGTATCACAAAAAAAAAAAAAAAAAAAAAAATGGGCATGGTGGTGCACATCTGTCATCCCAGAACTCAAGAGGCAGAGACAGGAAAATCAGGAGTTCAGTATTTAAGGTGGAGTAATCAAAGAAACACCTGATGTCAACCGTGGGCCTCCACACGCACATACAAACACACACAGAGATGCATGCATACCACATACACACACGTATGCAATTTTTAAACGACTTAATTAATCAATAATGAAAGCCTGTGTCTGGCGGTGCAGCATCCCCACCAGCCACTCACACCCAGAACCTTCTCACGTTTCAAGACAGAACTCTGTCCCTGCTCATGCCTCTCACAGCCCCTCCATGGCCCAGAGCCCACCTTCCTGCTTGCTGTCTCTGCGGGAGCTCTGGACAAGTGCAATCCTTTATCCTCCAAGTTCATCCACACGGCAGCATGTGTCAGCAGTTCCTTCTTCCTTTTTAGGGCTGAATAATATTCCCTTTAAGGGTGAATTACCTTCACTGATCCAATCATTTCATGGTGGCCACTGAGACACCCTTTACCGTTGAGATATTACAAATCACACTTCTAGGGACGTAAGTGCACAAATATCTGAGTCCCATTTTCAGTTCTTTCATATATATACCCAGAAGTGGGATTATTAAATGTATATATTAAATTATTAAAAGTACTCCCTGGGCATGAGCCTGGAAATGAGGAGCGGATGCTGGGTGTTCCACTTTGTCACTCTCGATCTTATTCCCTTGAGACGGTCTCTCACTGACCCAAAAGCTGGGCTGGCAATCAGCAAGCCCCAAAGAGCTCTCTGGGGTTACAGACATGTACATGACTATTCCCTGCCTTTTACATGGATGCTGGGGATTTGAACTCAGTTCTTCATGCTTACACATTAAAACTCCTACCCAGCCACCTCCCCAGCCCAACTATGCTAATTCTATTAATTTTTCTAATGAGCCACCATACTGTTTTTCTTGAGCCATGGAACCATTTTACATGCCCAACAACCTTCATAAAGACTATGATTTCTCCTGAGGAGCCAAGCTTTTGTGTTTCAATTCAATGTGCTACAATTTCAACTTCAGTTGTAATTACTGCAGCCAACTCTCAACTCTTCTTTGGGGTACCATATCTGGAGACTGAACATCTTGCGGGGGTGGGCTGAGGAAATGGCCTAGAGCTCACCAATGAGACTAGGCAAGCTGGCCAGCAAGGCCAACAGCCCCTCCCTCCCCCACCCCAACACAGAGCCCAGGGCTCCATGCACAGTGGGCAAGCCCACTAGCCATGAAGCCCCATCCTGTTGCAGACGGCCCTCCTTTCCTTACGGCCACCAACCAGAGTATAATTCTGTCAGGGTCCAACTTGGAGAACCAAGGAGTTTCCTGGTCTTACGTACAGAGAGCACAGGACCTTGGGTGACCCCAAAGCAGCCACATCCCAGGAAAGCTTCACCCCAGCATAGATGACTTCTCCAGAGCTGCACAGATAAGATTCTCCCTTCTACCCTCTATACACTGTACACCCTAGCACCAAAACCATGAGGCTCTGGGCAAACACATCTGACTGGGAGGTACAGGAAACAGCAGATAGAATGTTGGAGGAAGGGTTAAATCCAGTGATCCACCCTACTCACTCCTCCTCCTATGAGGGAATATCAAGAGTCTGCAGACCTGATGGGGGGGGGGGGAAGCATCAACAGTCAGCAGACCTGACTGGGGGTGGGGGTGGGGGTGGGCATCAAGAGTCTGCAGACCTGACTGGGGGGGGGGGTGCACGGGACAGTTTACTCTAGGTCGTCACAACTACTCTAATGAAGTTGGCCTGTTGATCTCAGAGGACAGCGACCTGCAGCACATCCCCCAGTCCCTTCCCTGCCATTCTGAGTCCAGGAATACAGACAGCAGAGCCAAACAGGGACGACTCTGCCAACAACGTTATCACCATTAGTCCGGCTCTGTCTGGGGAGATCTGAGGGCTGAAATTCAATTGGAGGAAGCAATAATTACAGCAGACGGTTATCTAAGGCTCACAAAGACATGGACTCTCCCATACAACACACTAAAGGGCAGGAAGAAGCCCATTTCCTGGGCCAGGGCTGCAGCTGAGGGTCAGCCTTTTCATTCACAAGAAGCTTCATCAAAGCCCTAATAAACACTTCCCAAACGCATAAGCCCTGCAGCCCACACAATGCTGACAGCGGCCAGCGCCTGCAAACAAAGCCAGGGGCAGACAGCCAGGCTTCAGCCTTGCACTTTGCACTGTAGGATTCCATTTATAGGACATCCGGGAAGCGGGAAGGAAAACATCGTGACAAGACCCACTGGTTACCATAGCCTGGACTGGGGAGGATCACACTGGACAGGCACCGGGGAACTGGGGTGAGGGAGGACACAGCCAAACCATTCTTTCACTTTTAAATTTTACTTATTCATGTGTTCATGGGGGTAGGGTGGGGGGCTGGGGGGTGCACCTGCAGGGACCAGAGGAAGGGATGGTCTCGGTCTTTTTTCCTTTTAATATTTATTTGTTGAAAATTCCAGACTTGTATACAGTCTACTTTGATCATACTTATCCTCCAACACCCCCACCAACTCCCCTCAAAACCCCTCCCACATCATATACATTTCCCTCCCAACTTCATGCCCTCTATTTTATTATTTATTTATTAATCCATTAAAGCCCTATTCCTTTAAGACAGGGTCTCTCGCCAACCTTGGAGCTAGGCTGGAAGCCAGCAAGCCCCAGGTGTGGTGGTAATCTAATTGTACTGAAATATTATTTTGATTGTATGTTAATAAATAAAGTTGTCTGGGGGTCAGAGCTATTAGAGCCATAGCAAGAGTGTGGCGGTGGTGGCACACGCCTTTAATCCCATAGATATCTGTGTGTTCAGGGTCAGAGCTA